CATTGGAAGGGTCCAGAATTGATATCCCAGTCTATGACTTCAAGTGAAACTGAGCAAATCACCATAACTACAAAATGCATGAGTTGCCCTTTTCTCTTCTAGTGATTTTGCAATGGTTTCTTAGGATTAGTGTCAATCTATAGGGTGGGGTTAACTTCTGACTTAAGAACTACCCATTTGAGTTGTATGATAGAGGTCTCTCCAGAAATATTCCCTTAGATATTCAATCTAATTACAAGAAAATTTGGATATTTCCTTGAAATATGAATCAACCTCAAGAGTCATTTCCATACCAACCACTGAAAAATGTGGAGGTTGGTTCCCTACTTCTCTTAGTAATAAAGAGAGGGAGTTCAATTTTCTTAGCAATGAAAAGAGAAGAAAAGAAAGAGTAGTAATTCAATTATTCGCCAGACAGTCAATGGTGCCTATTTTGGTAGGGTGGCAATTCAGGACCCCCAAGTCATAAGCTTGCCTAAATCTTTATTTTTTAATTAGTTTCTTTAGATTTTAAATTTGAGTCCTACTATGGTGAGGTTAAGTCACTGAAAAGGCAAACCTCAGCTTCTCATGTCATGGGAACTGATGTCCTAAGTGGGCACTTACCAAACAAAATCGTGGGATGTGTGTGGTTCATAGAGGTGAGCTTTATGGTAAAGCTTGAAACTCAAACTTCACCATTTGCCCTTTAAATTACTAATCCAAAAAGCCCATTAGCTAATCCAAAATAGTTGGGATTAAAGTGGAGTTTTGGAGTGATTATTGAAGAAGTGCTTACTCTAATAAGCACTCATGAGTATTTGATGAAAAGGCATTTATTTCAAGCAGGGGCAGTATGGGTATTTTCAAAACGATGTAACATGCCAAAATAGGCCAAAAAGGAAATAAGCATTTAAAAATAAATCCAAAATTTGGGACTCTCAAATAAGCATTTATTCACATTTATTTCCTAAACGCAAATAAGTGTTTATTGGTGTGGTTCCAGCCAAAAAGAAGTGCTTATTTTTAAGCACTCTCAAAGTTAGGCTGAGTTAAGTTGAGTTCCAACCGGATTAGTGCATACATTGAACTGCTGCAACTGGTGTTCCTAGTTTAACAATGGGCCAAATGTTCAATGGTGACATCAAATGTGTTATAAATATATCAATAAAAGCATGAAAATAAGAATGCATAGAAAATCAATATAGAAAAAAATGGTGGGATTATTATTGGTTCAAACTGCACTACTGATAAATTGTTTTACACTTTGGGCCCCAAGCCCAGATAAGGGAGGTAGGTTGTGTCAGGTTGGAAGCTGACATAACCCTTAACCCATCCAATATAGATGTATTAATCATCATTAGTTAACTAAAGAATCATTTAGGGGATTTCTGAATGTCTTTTTTTTTTGTTATTGTTTGTTTTTAAAATTACCACATCAGCATAAAAATAAACATCTTTTTGAATTATGTTTTTGTTTTGAAAAGCAAAGACAATTTTGTTTTGTTTCATTTTGAAATAATTGAAGTGATGGTTTCAAAACAAAAAACAAAGTTTTTCAAATGACTTGTTCGAAAACAAGGTTCTTTAAACCAGAAATTCTAGAGTACATTAATTAATTCCCGTTTTCAATATCGGAAATGAAACACATATGCAACCAAGAATATGTTTTCTGTGTTTTTATTTTAAGAACCAATTTATTTTTAAACTAGATGGTTTTAAAATTTACATTAAGAAAAAAATAATTTACATTAACAAAAACCCCTTAACTTATAAGTTTAAAATATAAATTAATGAAAAAATCTATATTACCAGAAATGCATGATATAAGAATAAGACTTAAAAAAATCACCCTCCAGAAAATTTGATAAATAACCACATGATTGATTACCATTTTTATGATACAGGTTGATTGGATACAAGCTTTTCTGAGATCATAGTTGAACCCATAAACTAATATGTGGAAATGATAAAATATAGTAATTAAATGGTCATCCGATTATTTGACCAAATAAACCAAACGCTTTATTTCTGAGAGGATGGGCGGTCGGTTCACTTTTAATTTGTGGGTGGAGAGGTGGCACATGGCACAACCCAGTGCCACTGAATCTCATGGACTACAGAAATTCTGGTAAGAATGGCAAATTTGGTGGACAATAACTGACCTCATTCCACTTCTAATGAAGGAAAAAAACCGAACCGGTCTAACAATTCAAAGAGGGTTGGACCACAAAACATTTTGTTTTCTTTTTTTTTTTTTTAATTTTGTGTGTGTATGTGTTTAACGGTTTATAAAAGAAGAGTTCGGATTCAATCCTTATAAGATTTTGTTAACACCACCTCATAGTTATTTACAACTGTGTATTAAGAATATCTCTATATTTATATACTTTTGTTCATGTAAAGATATCCTACAAATGATTGTAAAACGGTGTAAATTCGATCTTATGAGGACTGAATTCGAATTCATAAAGAATTCAATTTTCATGCAAAAACAATATAGAGAGACTAAGCAATGAAAGAGGCACAAACCTTGACAAGTTTTGAGTTCCGACGTCTCAATCGTGCGCATTCCCTTCAGAATTCAGATTCCTCACTTTTATCCTTCCATTCCATCTTTGGCTGTGTGGAATCAGAAAATATTTATATTTACATAGGAAAAATCTATAATACTTCAAAGATATGGTATCCAAAGAGTTTTCGGATATGATGTCATTTCGGTATCATAAAAGAAAACTAATATTTATTTAACATTTGTTGTAAATACTGAATTTTCTGTGGGCGTGCGGGAGAGGTTATCGGGCATGACTAGAAATCATGTGGGCTCTGCCCGCGCAGGTTCGAATCCTGCCGCCCACGTTTAATTTTCTTTCTACCAAAATAATCTTTTGCAAATTGCAGGCGGCTTGGTTGCGTAAAAGAGTTTGATTTTGATATGAATGTTATCATATATTCTTCTTCCAATTTTTAATTTTATATAATTTGCTTCTTGTTTTTTTTGCTTGGAAGGTTCATCGATCATCCATACAAACTGTATGTGGATGTGTTTCAATCTCCTTGTAGTTGCAGAAAGTCGTTTTGTTTTTTGGTGAACTTCGAAAGGAGCTTTTTCTCTAAGGAATATCATCTTTTCTACTTTCTTTCTTGGAAGAAACAATTATTAACAGAAGCTTTTAGAGATCAAGGGCTCCAACTATCTTGCAGATCTACATCACCTTGTCTTTTGTAGGCCAAATGTAGCTAATTGCTCACTACCAAAAACTTGAAAGACTTGTAAAGTTTAAGGTAGGCCGGTCCCTATGGACCCAATTTCAGAAAAAGGGTCGAATTTGAACCATGTTGGGTTAACTCTAAAAGTTTGGAAGTATCGGGCCGGGCTTTACTTCTCTCCTAACCATGGTCGGATGCATGTAAAATGCAGTTGGTCGGATGCATATCCTCCAACTGGGTAGAAGCCAAATATTTCTCCAAGTTTCAATATTCTTCTTTAACAATTTTATATATCGACCGATTCAAAGAGGCAATGCTTCCTGATTCTTATAGTTCCGTGTGTGGATATGCTCATATGCCCTAATGATATTAAGCTTTGAACATCCACATATTCCTTAGGCTTAATTTGGGAAGAATTGAAAATATGTATACAAATTTTATATTGTATATATTTGTATTTGCACTCTTACCAAACGGTGCTTTAATTTTTACTATTTCGCATATCAATTATTTTAAAAAGCAATACATATCGCAATCCGGACGAACTGGAGACAAAATCTGGCTGAACTATCTATCATGGTGGAACACGCCAATGCTCACTGTAGACTCTGAGACCCAGCTGTATTGAACACTCTCATGTTCAACCGTAATAGATAATTCAGCCATGTGTATGTTTTTGTCTCCAGCTAATCGGCTCCCTAGGTATCATACAATAAGGTATCGAAATAATTTAAACCTAGTGTAAACCTTTATCAACCAACAATAATTGTAACCAAAGCCCAGTTCTTTTTTTTTCAAAAAATATGTGGGTTATAGTGGGTCAAATCAAATCTTCTCTAAAATCACATCTCAAATGGAAGACATACAGAATTAGAAGCAAGCAGAATTGAGTTGTATATCATATACCAATTTTGGGGCTACATTCAGCCTCAGGAATGATTTGGGTCCCAAAAATCAAGATTAGCTGGGGCCAAAAGGAAATAAAATCAGATTGAGATGTGAATATATAACTATTAGTTAAAATGCACTGATTACTGATTTGGATATTGGATGGTTGGGAAGACAAAATTCTAATAAATTAAGTTCAAAAAGAGATGGACAGCGTCAAGGTGTTCCCACTTCCAACCATGAAATAATAATAGCCAGTCTAGCTGTGTGGATCAACCAAAGTAAACCATGTCCAGGAATTGTAGGACATCAGACCCATCAGTACATTTGTTGGAATTTGAAAGAAAATTAAATTGGAGTTGCAAAACGAAGGTAGAGGATAGGAATGAGATGACGGTTAGAAACTTCTGCGTCCTTACCAATAACAGAGCAGGCCACCAATTGATGGTTCATGTTTGGTGCGAAACGTAGGCTTTCCTCCTTTTGATTAATTATCACCACCGACCCCATGATATTGACTCTCTCTCTCTCTCTCTCTCTTTCAAAAATCAGAGCTACATTTGTTTACATTTTTTTACTGCTACTTTTGGTAAGCATTCAGTGCCCTCATTTAAGCATTGCTGAGGCATAAGATTAATAAGGGTTTGCTAACTTTGCTTTAGTTAAGTCTTCCATGATGAATGAAGGAAATATTCACAGAATATTCGATCTTAAGCAAATGACACGTGGCAAAGTCATGCCACACTTGTCATTGCTTAATTGCTCGACCGTCTTACTCACCTCCCTCTCTTCCCTCTCCCCCTCCACCATTCTGTTACTGTTTGTTTTGGGGTTTCAGATACTGTTACAGATAAACTCGCCTTCCTTTCAAGAATAAAGAGGTGGGCTCACTCAACCATAAAATTAAGTCGATAAGGCTCACCACAAGTCCCATAAGCATCTCTCTCTCTCTCTCCAAACACCCCTTGCTTTTCTTCTTGGGTGGTACTACTTTGTTTGAAAGCGGTCCCATGAGGAATTGACTGATAGAAGGCAGCTCAAATAGAGTAGAGGCCTGCTCACGTTGAGAGTCATCAGACCCATTTCTCAGCTATGGAGCATACTCAAACGAGTATGAGTAACACCGGCCCTCAGTGTGTAGAGATAGACATGGAGGTGCACAAGGTTGTTCCACCTCCACCTAAAAGTACGTTCCAGAAGCTGAAGAACAGGCTCAAGGAGACCCTCTTCCCTGACGACCCTCTGCGCCAATTCAAAGGCCAACCTCTGAAGAAGAAATGGATTCTTGGTGCTCAATACATCTTTCCCATCCTCCAATGGGGCCCTAACTATAATCTCAAGCTTCTCAAGTCAGACATCATTTCAGGTCTTACCATTGCAAGCTTAGCCATTCCACAGGTAGCACCCAAATCTTCAGATTAACTGCTGCTTTTGATTGTTTTCTGAAGAATATATAGCTTGATGCCCATTTTGAGTTTTTTCTGTTCTTCAGGGGATCAGTTATGCTAAGTTGGCCAATCTGCCTCCCATCATAGGACTTTGTAAGTAATTCTCTTCTGCTGCAGTCTTAGCCCTCTATCACTTAAAGCTCAATGCAGTGTGATTTATGCTGTGTTGTATTGTATGTATACTTGTGTATGCACTGGTTGTGTAGACTCTAGCTTTGTGCCTCCACTTGTGTATGCTGTGCTTGGGAGCTCCAGGGATCTGGCAGTAGGCCCTGTTTCCATTGCTTCCCTGATTCTAGGATCTATGTTAAGGGAAGAAGTATCTCCTGCCCAAGAGCCTCTTCTGTTTCTTCAATTGGCTTTCACTTCAACCTTTTTTGCTGGTATCTTCCAAGCTTCCTTGGGAATTTTAAGGTGACAATTCCTTTTCTTTCTTTCTAATCTATTCTTTTTTTTTTTTTTATCGTTTGGCTCTTCCCAAGATTTTTGCTCTTTACATTAAGCATAAATGCTCAAGCGCTTTCTGAATTGTCACTGGTTTGATTGATTTCTGGCAGGCTTGGTTTCATAATTGACTTTCTCTCAAAAGCCATCCTTATTGGTTTCATGGCTGGTGCTGCAATTATAGTTTCTCTGCAACAGCTCAAGAGCCTTCTTGGGATTGTGCATTTCACCAACCAAATGGGCATAGTACCTGTTATGAGCTCTGTTTTCCACAGAACAGATGAGGTACTTGTTCCTCTTCTCCCTTTCATGGACCCTATAATCATCATCAAGCAAACAAGAAGATTTTAGCCAAATAATTAGAAAACCAGGAAGATTTGATTATGGGTTTCCATTAATTAGCTATCACATTTCTTCCCTGTTTGGTTTTTTGATTATAATCTGGGTTTGTGTTGTTGTTTTGGTGGTATGAGCACAGTGGTCATGGCAAACCATACTCATGGGCTTCTGCTTCCTTGTGTTGCTTCTCTTGGCCAGACACGTTGTAGGTTTTATTCCTCCTTACTATTAACTTCTGTCTGCATGCATAGAACGTTCTGTTTCTTCTTTCTTTTATTTTATTCTTTTCAAAATGACATATATGCCCCTCCATTATTTCTGAAACGGATTTGATTTCAGTTCACATGATGAATATTGTTGAAAAACAAAAAAAAAGTTCACATGATGAATATTGAATCACATAAGGTCTGTATTGGAGTGAGTACTAGCTCCATCTACTCCATGCCACGTGGCGCACGATCCTTGACCGGCTGGTTGATCAGAGAATCTCATCTCCACTTATGGTACCGCGATACGTCCTCGGAATGAGAGGCTTATCAAATAGTGGGCCTCTTGGACTTCATGGGCTTTATCCCCCTCGAAGAACTAACCATGGTTGATGGATGGACCAGGGGTTGTTGGATTGGAATCAGGTTTTGTCGTTCATACGACGAAATAAATGTTAGTACACTCCTTTGTGTTTCCCGAGGAAAAAAGATTCCGATACAAGGATATGTGACAAAAGTCTGAGCCTTTACAGAACTGTAGGGCTATAGGCCCATGGACCATCCAATCATGGTCCACAAATTCTAAATAAATAAAAGGCTTCAAATTGTCAGATCCAGACCCAAATGAAAAATCAGATGGCAAACCGGGTCAGTTGTGGTTTTATGGATCACCAAGGCCCGAATAGTTGAATGCATAATCCGGGTCAGCCATACAGTGGGCCCATCTTTAATGGGGGGAGACCGGAGACGCTTTAGATCAATCAGATATTCTCTGTTTTTAGAGGACCATCGTCCATCGATCTCATCACATCTCGTCTTATCTTCTTATATGGTGCAGAGCTTGAGAAAACCAAAGCTGTTTTGGGTATCAGCCGGAGCCCCACTTACCTCAGTGATCCTCTCCACCCTGCTGGTTTTCGCATTCAAAGCTCAAAATCATGGAATCAGCATCGTAAATTCTGGGGCCCACAATTCTCATTTTTTATTTTCTTTATTTTTATTTTATTATCATATACTTTTTTCTCTGGTGAATTTCGTAGATTGGGAAATTACAAGAAGGTCTGAATCCTCTCTCATGGAATATGCTTAGCTTTCAGAGAAGTCATCTGGGCCTGGTAGTAAGAACTGGACTCATCACTGGCATCATTTCACTTACTGTGAGTTCTCTTTTCTAGTTTTCTTTCGTCCCAACAATCCTTCCCGATTTATTAATTAAGAGAAGTAAAAATTGAAAATTAAATATTACTTGCAAACGCTAGAAGGAGGGCTTGAACCTCCGACCTTGTGGTTAACAGCCACACGCTCTAACCAACTGAGCTATTCCAGCAATTGTTACTTATCTAATGTACTTTAAATATTAATATAGTATATTACTGAGATGCACGTGCACCGCGATTTAGACAATGTGAAGCCCAAAATTTCATGAGCCCCAACGAAGCACGTTGACCGTGCAGCGTAGGCGGGGGAAAAGTCAAGAGTGTAGGAGCTCCGGACTCCTCACCCCTCAGGCTCTCAGCTGCTTGCTAGAATTGCTTCCAAACCACGTAGCTTCTTACACTAGACAGGCGTTGCTGATATTTTGAACAGGAAGGTATAGCAGTAGGACGAACATTCGCTGCTATCAGGGATTACCAGGTCGACGGAAACAAGGAGATGATGGCAATCGGGTTGATGAACATAGTTGGCTCCTGTACTTCTTGCTACATTACTACAGGTACCGCCCATTAATGAACTCCCTTTTGAGCCTTCTCCATACCATAGTCCATAGCTAGACTCCTTCCAGAAGTTCGATATCTGGGTTTCTGATGCAACTTTGGCTGGGTTTCAGGTGCTTTCTCTCGGTCAGCTGTTAATCACAATGCAGGGGCAAAGACTGCAGTATCCAACATAGTGATGGCTGTGACTGTAATGGTGACTCTCCTCTTTCTCATGCCCCTCTTCTGCTACACACCTAATGTAGTTCTTGGTGCCATCATTATCACCGCAGTTGTTGGCCTCATCGATGTCCCTGCAGCCTATCTTGTCTGGAAGATCGATAGATTCGATTTCTTTGTGTTGGTATCTGCTTTCCTAGGTGTCATCTTCATCTCTGCCCAGGGAGGCCTGGCCATTGCAGTAAGTCTGTTTGTTATAATGCTTCAACAGTTTTTCTTTGCAGATAACGTCTAAGATTCATTTAATGGGTAGGAGATGTGTATCTGGAGCATTCACATGGCATGCCTGTAAGACAAGTTTGATCTTTTAATTGCAGGTAGGGATCTCAATTTTCAAGATATTGTTACAGATCACTAGGCCCAAAACAGTGATGCTGGGAAATATTCCCGGGACGGATATCTATCGCAATCTCCATCACTACAAGGAAGCCAGAAGGATCCCAGGCTTTCTCATACTGAGCATTGAAGCTCCAGTTAATTTTGCTAATACCACTTACCTCAATGAAAGGTTTTCACCTGTTTCAAAATGCAGATCCTGTTCAATTCAATAATTAGGGTGGCAAAGGGCTGACTCAGGTTGAGCTGGACCTCGAATCACACACACCCAGAAGAAACAACAGGTTCAGTCAGTCAGCCAGTCGGGTCAAGGATTTGCAGCCCTAATTGAATGAAAAGATTCTTCCTAGGGAAATTCAATGATGATGCTGACCTCTCCTGACACTTCATCTTCTTCCACAGGATCTCGAGATGGATAGAAGAATATGAAGTAGAAGAAGAAGTTGCAAAGCAATCTAATCTTCATTATGTTATCCTAGACATGTCAGGTAATTAACTAATTTCTTCTAAAAAAAATATTTGTTATTTCAGTTAATTTTCTTAATCAGAAAAATAATTCTAGTCATCAGAAAATGACCCTCTATGTTGCCATTAATACAAACTTGTATCAAACAGAATTTGAATCATTTGATCATGATTTAGCATAACTGCACAATAAGTAGTGTCACCAGATATGCTGGAATTTTTCTTAAATTTCAACATGATCTGGAAAAGTCCTATGCACTACTACAATTTTGGTGCTAAACAGCTGAGATGATGAACCATCGACTTTCAACAGATTCATTTATTTCTGAGTGGTGGGCACCCATGAAGTGATAATTGCATAGTGTATGTGATAAACCACATGATAACTACCAGATAGCTAGTGTTAATGTCTTTGTCAACTGCAGTATTGTCAATATATTCCTTTTGAATTCTGGAAATCCAGCCTTTAGGTAATATGTGGTTGGTGGGGGATTTAGTTGCTTCCTAACATCTGTTCATTACCTATTTGGAGGCCATGTTCTATACTCTATTTGGTATCAAGTGTATCTCTGTTTGTCAATAGAAATTAAAAAAAAAAAAAAAAGATATTAGTTTTCAGCTTCAATCACAGAAGTGAATGTCATAATACCAATAATATATTTATCTTATGCTCATTTTTCAGCTGTAAGTGCCATAGATACAAGTGGATTGTCATTCATAAAGGATGTGAAGAAGGCCATGGAGAAGCGAGGTCTCGAGGCAAGTCAATTAGGAACGTACTTAACTCGAATTTTCTTCATTTCATTCACTGTATGATTACTAATACTATAATGGGGTCGTTGGCATCACAGCTTGTGTTGGTGAATCCTTTGGGTGAGGTGATGGAGAAATTGCAGAGAGCAAATAAAGCCCACGAGTTCATGGCCATGGATTCTCTCTTCTTGACAGTTGGAGAGGCTGTCGCTTCACTCTCGTTCACAGTGAAGGGGCGGACATCAAGCAATAATGTATAATTATGAAAAAGATTGAAGGGGGAAATAGTCATCATCTTTAATTCCTTTCAACTGAATGTTTCAAGGAATGACTCTTTGAGTTATATTTAGTAGCTGTTTGAGTTTGGTTTCTATCATAATTGACCTGAAGCTTGAGTTATACCAGCATGTCTTTTATTCAAAATTGAAGAACTTGAAAAATAAAAAAAAAAATAAAAATATTACTTCTAGGCAGCCCAGTGCATGAGCCTCCTGCCATTGCGAGGTCTGAGAAGGGACAGATGTACGCAGCCTTACCCTTGCACATACAGAAAGGCTGTTTTCAAGATTTTAACCCTGGTCACTCAGGGCGCAACTAAGGCCCGCCTTCTTAGAACAACATATTCTATGTCTACAAATCAAATCCTGAAAATGAGAAGGTTCAAAACACTATTATTAGGGATAATTACTTAAAACCCCCCTTTCTGATACACCTCCCTCCATTTTTACCCTAACCCTTAAACCAAATTTGTCAGAATTGAACCAGACACGGAGCCATTTTGGTCACTGGGTCAAAGGTTAAACGGTCGAATGATCCAATTTGACCAAATTAACTCGTTCAAATAAAAATTAAAAAAATAGCAAATAATTCCATATCATCTTTCAATTCTATTTTATATCAGAATAAAAAAGAACTATAAGTATTTTAGATTGTAACAGGTAATATAACACATGTTGAATTGTATCGTTGTATGATTATTGCTTATGCCAAATCTGGTCATTTTTGTTTTGCATTAGGTTTCCTTTGCACTTCCGCTTTATTATGTCATATTTGTTTTCTGCTTCCATTGAAACAACCTATTTATAGGCCTACGTTTCTCCTTTCGAACTACTTTAAAGTGCAAACTACCTTCTAAATTATGATTTCTTTCAAACCAAACCAGTTCACAAGTCGTAGTACTACAAGTGGTTAATTAGGTAGAAGTATCTTTACGAAACAGTTCGATCGGATCCTTATCATTTGGGAATTGGGACAAGAGAGGTACAGTCGTGGTCCGATTAGTATTTGCTCCAAAAATCAGAACAAGAACCCATCACCATCAGGGGTGCAACTTGGGTTGGAGCAAGTTAACATTTTACACTGTTTTGGGCTTAGATTTCAGATCAGGCCATTCAAATTTTGACAAAAGCCCATCCAATTTGCACCCCTATAACCTAATAACAAAACAACACTAGGGACATCAAAATTCTTCTTCTTTTTCTTTTTTTTTTTTTGGCCACCCATCCTCAGCACATAAGAAGAAAATGCACCAACCAAATCACATAAAGTTTGCTTACTTTTCATTAATTTAAGTTTCCTAAAATATATTTATCATTACATTCAACTAATCACGTCTTTTGTTGCACAATACAACGAATGCAGCATAGATTTTTCCAAGTTTTTAATAATTATATGAAGGAGCAAATTAACCAATGCTATGGACCAAATCTTACTTCAAGTGCCGAATGTGAAAAAGGAATAAGAGAACCCCCACTTCCCAATTCCCAAACAAATAAAAGCATACAACAGCAGTTAGGCCAGACAACAGAAAACCCCACCTACATCTGATATTACAAAGTTTATTTGTCCTGGAAAGCCTTGAAACATGTTCGAAAGTTAAAAGTGATGACAATTTTCACTAGAAAAGGTCACAAAAATCAGGAAAAATTCCCATTATTACAATATGACAAAAATAACTAAAAATAAAGTATCAATAGAGTTGTTAGACTCTTTGATATTATCCTTCCATTTATTTATCTTCTAATTCAAGAATAAAAGCTAAACTATCTAGCTCCCAAAGTTAATCAGGTTGAAGAGGTTTAAAATCCGACCAGTCTTCAAGTTTTGCTTCACTGGTTGAAGTCATGCATGTTCTGAGATGGAAAAACCAAGAACAGGACATGATGACAAGTTATTCCCAACATTGTCTTTACCTACCAAATCATTATATTACTCTGTTCACGAATTCCACTACAAGGTCCCCAAACTTGTAAGAAATCTGAGATTAGAAGATCCCATATAAGAAGGTCGTCATTTGCATCAAAATCCATTAGAAAATCTGAAGGATCATCTGCTTGCCAACTTGAAGATGATGGGTTTTCAGCACGGCCAATAGTCTCCCCACTTCCTTGGGGCACTTCAGTTGTGGCATTTTGCATAGCCTTCACCTCTCCAGATTCACTGAGTTCTTTGCGTTGCCCCTCAACCTTCGATCCCTTGATCATACATGTTTCCCCCACATCATATTTTCCAGTAAAATAACCATCAATTTGTTGAATTCCACAGCTAGAGACTTGCAGGAAATCTGGGTTTAGAGGATCTGACATGAGAAGACCTGTCTATATTGAAATCCAGTACTGGAAAATCATCAAAAGGATCATCTACTTGTTGAGTTGAAGAGGATGGGTTCTTAACCTTGCCAAGTCTCCATAGTTATCTCATTCATCCGATTTCCCTCTTTTCCTTCTATCTGCTGTGGAAGAACAACCTTGTTCCACCTTATGTCTTTAATGGAAATAACATCAGGATTTTTTACCATCAATGGGGGTTCTTGAAACATGAAATTCTTCACAGGCTTCTCCTTCTCCGATTCGCCGGTTCGTTTATTTAGCCTCTCAACTTGCAATATTCTCTTGATCAAATTGTTATTCCAGTGGTTCTTGATTTCATTATTGTTGGGAAAAATGGGGTCACTGTAACTTTGGAGGAGAAGCTCTGAGACGCGTCTGAAGATACTATCTTTAGAACGTTATTTGCCCCCACTCAGTTTTACTGAGTTTGTTGTTGGGTTACAGGCAAATTCGTTCCCAGGATACAATAGAGCCATGGGTGAGAATCTGCAACCAGCAAAGTTGAAGAGTCTCCAGAGAAACCTTCTGTGAGACTGTAGCAGGCCGGACTGAGAGAGAGAGAGAGAGTGAGTGAATTTCGAAATTGTATGTTTTGAAGTCTGATTCATGCTACTTAATAATTTGTGAAGAGATATGAAGAAAAAGTAGGTGTTGGTTTAGAGAAGGCACCTTGAACAGTCACAATTTCAAACATTGTGACTGTTTAAAAAGTTTGAATTGTGCCTCTTGATCACACCCGATCGAATCGTGACCGTTGATCTCATCAACGGTCAGCAACGCACCAAAACCAAAGCCGCCCATCGCGAGTCATGCAGGTGCGAGCAAAGTGTGCCTCTAAAGCGCCTCATTGCGCCGCACACACGCGCGTGTGCGTTGTACGGTATCGAATCCCCATACTCTCCTCTACTAATTTTAAGGAATGTAAATCAGCTCCTATTGAAATACTGAAAACAAAACTTATAATTTTCCAATGTGGGACAAGTTCAAAACTGGGTTTTGTAAGAGAAAAACCGATTTTTCAATCAAGTGTGCAAGTGCAATTTCTCATGTAATTGATCAATCAAACCCATTGGATTTAATCTCTTATGAGATTAAAATCCAACAATTATCTGTTCGACCAGGTAGTCTTCCTGCTATAAGCGACCATCTGCAAAACCAAAATGTTTTTAGATTGTTGTTTCCTTATTCTTTCCATGTAAACTTGGTTTCCCACATAGTATAACATCATGGTTGAAGTAAATTCATTTTCTTAATTGTACTAATCAACTAACATAGGAGACCATCCTAATTTAATTCATCAAACTTATGAAGGAAATGATTTGGTATATACCTGTAGGTATACATATCTATATCTGTCTATACTACTATTAAAAGTGTGAATGAGGTCTAAATTCTGGATTTTTCTTTATTAAATTCATTCCTATTCACTCTCATTATCTCCTATATTTAGGGTATTAATTCTCATTCCCTCTCGTTATCATTAAATCCTATATTTATGATACATTAAATTAGATAAATGAGCTTTAAGGTACATTAAATTAAGTCATACATTTAAGGTATTAATTCCCATACCACTTCATTCAATTCCCTCTTATTATGGCGTTAATTCTCATTTTTTTTCTCCTTAAATACTTTATTTAAAGTGCTTTTGTTTCTCATCAAAAAATATTTAATGGGTTCTTATGGAGATGTTAAAATTATTATTTTTATCTAAAATTTCCCACATGCAATGCACATATATATAAATACATACACATAATGCACATGCATATGTTTTCTTTTTTTTAATGCCTGAAAGACACATGCATTTGTATGTATGTATGTATGTATGTATGTATGTATGTTTCTCTCCCTTTCTTTGTAAAAAATATTATTTTAAGATGGCATATTGGATTCAAACTAGATCTGAATATTTGACAAGTTTCATATTTTATCATCCAACTCCAAGCCCAAAAAAATTTAGTAAGGGGTTTTCATTAGAGATGCAACATAGTTAACACACTAAGATATCTATGTACGTTTCACAACAAGAGTGAGATGACGTTAGAAAATGAAATGATTATCTTCAAGCTCACCAAAAAGAAGAAAAATGTTGGGATTCATTTATGAGTAGTGTATGAAGAGAGACTCACATTGTAAGTTAGGGAATGAGGGGTGCATGAGATTTATATACAAGAATGGCCCATAACCCAATATAGCTTAAGCTTTTGAGTTGTAAGTGGTATCCATCTCTTGTGTAAAAGTCCTACGTGCATGAACGTGTAGGAGTCCTTTGGTTTTCGCAACTCCCTTCAATGCACATTAAAAAAACCAGGGATAAGGCAATGGACATGGCATTGAACAAACTAGAATGGCGAAACTGGGTTCATGCCGACTGACTACATATAGTTGGGACAAGGCTTAGATGATGGTGATGATGAAGGGACTCCAGAGGATATCACACAATTGTAAAAGATGAGAACGAGTTGGGCAGTTGAACATATCAAACTAGATCACTGGCCATCTATGATCTTGAATACCTTGATTTCTTCAACATCAAATGCATATAGGAGACAATCCTTTCTGGTGGTTAACTTTTCTTGTTCATAATATTATTGGATTCAATCCGTCAATTCCATGTGTCTTAGAATTTTGAGGGGATGAACATATCTTAAGATTTGCCTTTTCAAGGGGAGCAAAGTCCTTTAGGCTGCATTTGGAAACGATGCAAATAAGTGTGAATGCAAATATGTAGAGTGTAAAACGGTTCATATAAATTGCAAAATTAGATTAGTTTTGCACTGACAAATT